CTTTAATTGAAACAATTTAGAAAAATATATATAACGTTAAGTACAATAGAAGTCAATGCTGGTTATTAATTAGCGCAAATCTTAATATTAAATATATATAACCTTGAACGTTTCAATTCATGATTCGAGTCTTCTTCAATAATATTTCCTCTTGGCGCAATGGTTGAAATATTGCATCGTAAAATAATATCTTCAATGTTTTTCCTCTCAAAAAAATTGACCCGTTGACTGTTGTGATAATCATTATTATTCAATCGACTGTCGAAATGACATAACACAAATTGTTCTCTTAGTTCTTACTATAACTTACTATAACTTTTTTAACATATTAACTATGTATAAAATTTTGCATGTACAAAATTTTGCATTGCCTGTACTTAACGTTATTATTATATATATTTTTCTAGATTTTATAATCAATGTTTAACTATATTATAGCTCCTCACATGACGATTTTCTTTAATTTTTTGAAAAATTTCATCGACGTTTTCCATAATAGGCCCAGATGTGCAGCGACGTTGAAATTTCTATCTCGAAATGGAAACTAATTTGCTGTTTGTCTTGTTAAAGCATTCTCTCTATAAACACAATTTTTTTCTGCAGCTTGCGCAGCGTTTTTCCCTTTTTTATAATAAACAAGTAAAATGTGTCGAAAATATTTTCTGATTTTCACTCATTTTCAAATTTGATTGAATTTGTCAGTATCATTCAAATCTATGATCATCTATTTCAAAATGTTATACGAATAGCATCTTTCCAACGATATATAACTTAATACATCACATAATAATGGCACGTAAAAAATCGACATCACGTAAAAAATCGATCTTCATCTATTGGATATATGTAAAAAGATTTTTTCCCTAACCCAATATAAAGACTCAAGAAATTGCACAAAAAAATTCTTTACCATAATCAAAAATACTTAAAAATTAGTAATTTAAATTAGTCGTATTATCCTAATTGGAAAGACCATATATTTTTAATGTTAGAAATGAATAAGAACAGTGTTAATGTCGTACTTATTTATTTAAAATTGAATAAATTTTTATATACGCTTATGCTTTTGATGATTTTCTTTTTTTCTATTCATTTATAATAAACATTAACAGGCAATATAAGTAAAATCACGATTTAACTAACTTTAAATTCAAATAATAATATTAATTAAGCAAATTTATAGTAAATAATTAATATCATAATGCACAAAATTTCTTCAAATGTTTAATTATCAGGTAGCCAAATTACTTGACAATTATAAATTCTCACTCTTATTGAGATAAATTTCTTAAAAATTAAGAAAATAAGGTATATGGATTCTACATAGCACGTAATATCATTTTTCTCACATTGCAATATTACTACGGAATCTAGCAGAAATTATTGAAATATTACTGAAATGTTATAGTAATATTATAATGTGAAAATAAATCACAAAAATATTACTGAGATATATCGCAGAAATATCATTTTAATATTATGTAATATTTCTGTGGTTTTTATGCAATGTTTATATAATATTTATGTAACATTTATTGAGAAAAACATTTTAAAAAATTTTTAAAAGAATTCATTGAATTGATATTTTTAATGTTATTTTAAAAATTATTCCATATGATATAAATTAAAAAAGAATGCACTGATTGTTATTGTTACAAAACTTATATAATATTACAATAAACTAAAAAAGTTGTAATAAACTAAATATCACTTATAAAATTATATGTGTGTGTGTGTACGTATAATTTTGTGATATTTTAATAACGTCTTAATGACATTCTTAACGTCAATAAAACATTATAAAAATAATGTTAAATTAATTATAATATCTTATATTACCTTATTAATTATAATATCATTCTGTTACTGAAGACATTGCCGCAATATTACTGTGATATTTTAATATTGGTTATATCAACATGTAATACATCAGTATTTCTGTAATATTATATTTTTTTATGTAATATTTCTGGTACATTGCAATATTACTGCGATATTACTATGACATTACGTGATATTACTATGTGGGGCATAATTATATATCCAGATAGCAAAATGTTAGCAAGATGTAGACAGACTGGTAACAGATTTGATTAGATGTTAGCAGATTGATCACAATTGATGTCACATTCTGCTTCTGTTCTGACAATAACCTGTTAACATTCTATGCAAACAGACTGGCAGTAAAAATCAAACAGAATCTGCTGATAGAATCTGATAGGAGATTGCGAGGAGAAACCGAGCAAGATCTGTCATTTTCATTTAAATCGACCTATTTCTTATAAGAAATTTTGCGTACATATATACAGGATGAGGCATTTTAATCGCCCCAGGCGAATATCTCAGAAACTAAGAGAGATACTAAGAGAGAAAAAGTTTTATATGAAAATTGTAGGTTTTCTTGGGGGAAAGAAAATGAAAATAATGGATTTTGGATAAGGGGTACTACCAAGATTAGGTCAAGGTCAATATGAATTTTTTAAATGGAATTCCCCATTTTTATTGCATATTCTCATAGCATAGCTCGAGAGTTTTCCAAAACACTATAATAAAATATTTTTCCATAAAGTATTGTACTTTCGAGAGCAGGGCTCGAAAGTTACAGTACCTCCGGCATTAGCATTATCCAAGATGTCCGACCGACGAACCTTTTGAATGTTGTTCAGAATCATGACTTAAATAATATTTATCAAGATCAAGGCCATTGGAGATTGTTCCTCTTATTTCCATTTTTGCACTAAAAATTTATTTTTACGTAAACATGAAAATATAATAAGAGATATAATCACTAATGGTCTTGATCTTGACAAATGTTATCCAGATCATAATCCTAAACAATATTCAAGAGGTTTTTAGCCGTCAGTCGGACACCTTGAGTAATGCTAATGCCGGAAGTACTGTAACTTCTGAGCCCTATAACTCGAAAAGTTTATAACTTAACGAAAAAATATTTTATCATAGTATTTTGGAAAACTCTCGAGGTGCATTATAAGAATATGCAATAAAAAAATGGCGGTTCCTTTTAAAAAATTCATGTTGACCTTAACCTAACTTTGATAGTGCCCTCTATCTAAAATTCCGTTATTTCCACCTTTTTTCTCCCCAAGAAAACCTACAACTTTCATATAAAACTTTTTTATTACTTACTTTTGTATCCCTCTTCTTCTGAGATATTCGTTTGGCGATTAAAATGCCCCACCTTGTATATAATTATATATTTATATATATTGGTGTGAAAACTGGAAACAATCATACTGTTTTATTGCTAAAATATTATTGATTAACTTCACATTAAAAAAAAACACATTGGAAAGTAATATAAATAGTTAAAAAAATATTTGGAGATTTAGAAAGCATGCTTCGAAAGAGCTTGATGAGAATCTTTAGGAGATTTACCTATTCGATTTACATACGCCAATTCTTATAGGATTCCTGGAAATTTTCTTCTTATGAGAAACAAGTCTATCTCATGGCGGAGCATGAAATTGACAGATCGTGCTCGGTTTCTGTTGCCAATCTGCTGTCAAGTTATGCAGCAGACTCTGTTCGGTTTCTGTCATCAATTTTCTGGCACAGCGTCATCAAGCTTTGTCATACTTTTGACAGTAGTTTGCTGACATTGTCTGATAATACAAATTCTGTGTACAATTTGTTACTTTTCTGAAATCAGAAATTGGTAACAGACTCTGCTCACAATCTCTGTTTAGATTTGGTTATCTGGGTATATTTGGAATTCGCATAAAATTATTTGTAAAATTATATTGTATAATACATCATACTTTGCTTAACGTTATTGAAGTTCGTGAAAATGACACTATATAAAAATATAATATATACTATATTAATATAAATATAATATTATTTATTAAATCAAACTTTTTATCACACTTTACAATCGGAATTTTAACGCAGATCATTCATTTCTGTCATAAAATCTTTCATTTTATACTTGATATACATATATCGTAAATATAGTAATGTAAATAGTTTAATAGTAGAAATGTGCATTAGTTTTTAAAATTATGGTCTGTGTGTAGCCATATTCGAATATATCTCATAATGCAGTAAATTTTATTTTTACTTTATACCGTCGTATGGTCCAAAAGTTGGAATACGGTCGAATATCTCGAAAACAAAGCACTTTTGAGAAAAATGTTTTAAATGAAAATTGTAAGTTTTAAAAAGATCTATGTATATACTGATTTTATTACTTTGCTAAAGAAATCAAATTGTTAAATTGCTAGCTAATTTAATTTGTAATATTACTGCGGTAGTTTAGTGAAGTTTGCATTTCAAAATCGAAAAATTATTTCGGCGCGTATTTTAAAGGACTACATAGTAGTATATAAATTCACACAGAATTATACAGGCACTTAAGATCCAGCTAAACTGTTTAAGGCATTATTTCTATAGATTATTTCAGCACTAGTTTTCAGTAAGTGATGATTTATTTTTAAATGCACGTTCAAAAATCAATCATCTTCTGCTAAAAATTAGTAATGAAATATTTTTTATTCTATTCTAAGACTAACTTAAAATAAGTTAAAATAGTTTACTTCACGCTCGGGATTAGAAAGCTTGGGAGTTAAAAGAGGTTGAAGGTTTAAGAGTATGGGGTTCAAGATTTCATACGCCATATTGGATCTACTATTTTGAATTTCGAAATTTTGATAACACATTAGCAATCAGATTAGTAATCAGCAATCTCGAAAAACTTTAAAAGTAATCATTTTCAAGCTAGTTGGGAATCATTACAATAGTTTAAGCAAGAAAATGTTACATGTGTATACGATGTTCATCGCTTCTCGGCGCCATATTGGATCCGTCATATTGGATCTCTCAAAACGTCACATTTCTTTCGAAAGTAAATGCATATACGAATAATTTAAGACCTTGAACGTTTATTTTCATTGCACTGATTTTTGAGCATGTGATCCGGTTGACGTGAAACGTCATATATGACGTTTATATATATTAATTTATAATAAATTACATTTCAGTTTTCTCAAGATGTCAATTTGAACGCTTCAAACGCGCTCAGTAAACATCAGCGAACCAAGTCCAGTCCGGAACAATTGGGAATAACGGCAATATCTCCATCGGAAGCTAGTAAACGTTTAATCGCTTCTGAATCAATGAACGATTTGTTACCTCCAAGACATGTCAGGCATAATGATATCGATATCAATGAATTACCATGTATTACACCACCGGGAACACCACCGCCACCATATCCTGCCCCTGTTTTAGGGCAAGACGTTTTCTCATCCACATTAAATGATGTAAATATTTTTATTAGTTTTAAATATATCATTCATTAATTCATATTAAGTTTCTTTTATTTCACATTGTAACTATTATACATTGGATTATAAGTTAGATACGATTTATAACAAAATTAATTTTTGTATTTTATGCAATTATAATTGCAATAATTTGGAATTTTAAAAACTGACATTAATAATGTTAATATATATATTATATTTATATATCTAAAGATTATGCGTTTCGCGGTTTTCCTTCGTGTTCCATTCTTGGAATGCCAACATTTCGTGAACCTTGCAGCCCACTTCATCATACTCAGTATCAGGCTGCTCCTCGCCCTGAAGTGAGCTGTAAGATTCACGAAATGTTGGCAAGAATGGTCCAAGAATGGATCTGGACACGTAGGAAACTACACGAAACGCATAATCTTTATGTAGAAAGCACCCGTGGAACCTCAAGAATACTTATATATCTATATATATATATATATATAAAAACAAGCAACTAAAGATATTTTCTTTTTGATTTTATCAATATGATGGATGGATATAATACATCTGATTTTGTGTATTATCTGTATAATAATTCAAAATAATAATTATAACTTTTCTTATTTCTCTTACAATAATAGTTTTTTTTATAACAACAGGCACTTGCGACTGATATTATTCCTGGATTGCCAACGTTCCAACAGCCAATTATGTCAATGGAAGAAGATGACGTTAGCGATCAAGAAATCGTAAGTTATACATAAGTTTATGTACGAAATGCTTACTAAGATCCTTGAATATTAATTTGTAATTTTTTATTAATTTATTAATGTTTTAGGGTCAATTAGAAGATCATGGACCGTTCCAATCTTTATCCAGACTATGGGGACATCATGCACACCTTGCTGTATTTATTAATTATGTGTTATCTAATAGTGATCCTTCTAGTTTGGTATGTATAATTATTCCTGATTATATTCATTTAAATTAGCATGTTTTAAAATATAATTGTTTTTACGACGAAAATATTACGTGAAATGTTTACATTAATAATAAACGTAATATATATTTTTACAGTTATTTTATTTAGTAACTGATTTATATAAGGAAGGAAATGCCAAAGAGATGAAAAAATGGGCATATGAAATTCATTCTAGTTTTCTAGTACCTGGTGCGGTAAGTAATTCAATGCATAAAATATTCCTCGTAAAAGGCATAGCGGAATAAGTATATAAAATCTACCCCGGTTTAATTGAGCTCAAATTGGTGTCATCAGTTGGCACTTTTGAAATATAAAATTTTTTCAAATATTACAAATCTTGAAATTACATTTTTTGGAACGTAATGAAAACAGTAAACAAAATAACAAAGGTTTTCTTGAAAACAGTTGGATCAATTTGAATGGAAATATATATATATACATGTTGTAAACATTGTTTAAGTAAATTAAAAAAAATTTTGCACAATTTTTATTTCACTAATCACGTGGACGTTAGTCTTTTGTTTGCGGTAGAGACAACATGGTCACAGATTATTTAAAAGACTCTAAAATATTGAATCGCAACATTACATATTCACAATAATTCAAAAGTTTCAAGTCACTGGACTAATGTTGGATGTATGTAACAAATGACAAATAAACATTTTTTAAAGGATTTGACTACAAAAATTTCTCGTCGACAACCGAGGAACTTTTGCTAAATTAATTGATTTTGTAATCAAATGGATCACATAAATCATAGTTCAATCGCAAAAAGATGTCAAACATATCGTTAGAAAGAGAAAATAACATCTATTGCTTTGTTATATTTGTCCATCGCTAAGAATTTTCATTTCATTTTATCGGCTAAAAAGGACTAAATAAAGTCCGAAATATCCCGTTTTGGACATATGTATGTAATTTAATAAATTAAAAAATAAATAATTTGTCAAATTTTGTCTACCTAACACATTACTCGTTTTTTAAATTAACTTTAAATTGATTAGTGAAATCACTTTTATATTGCTTTGCATATACACGAGCGAATATTTATATTTTATTTTGGAATACAATTTTTGATAAAAATTTTGAAAAAAAAACTTGCTTTTTTTATGAATTTTTCTTGAAGATATTTTTGAGTTATCACTTCTACATTTTTACAAAAACGTCTCTAGGTTCTCTACTTTAATATGTATTTTTTCTAAATCGATCGGAGTGATGGAACACAGTTAAAAATAACAATTATTCGTACAACGCCATGCTATGCCGAGGGGGTGAGCGGCCGCGTACTGGGCGGCCACGGAACATTGCCATTATCGCCCACATTGATTGAAGAATAGTAATGGAGTCAAGATTCATTAAAAAAACTCTATGTCTGATGAGTGCTGATGAGCGCTGATTATTTCAAAGTTTGATTGTCTGCTTGTTGAAAGCTACACCATCTCTGTTACAAAAAAATATCGTTATTACTTCTGTTATCTCTTTAGGTCTTTATAATAAATTGATAACACGAGAGGAAAGGGAACTTACATTAAAAAAGCGTGGTATTCGAAAACATACTGTAACCTCCTTGTAGTAAGCTCCGAGAATTATAAGTTTTTATAGGCTAACTGCAGAAGAGAGTTCTTAACGGAAATATATTATGTGCTATTATATATTATTGTTTTAACATTACACCTTGTATAATATTAAAAACTATTACATATATAGCTTTCCTTGCTTACGTAATGACTTTTCATGCGACTTTCACCCCACCTCCTCTCCTGTTTTAGGAGAGCACGATTTCCATAAGTTGCTTTACGTAAAAGTCGTGCGCTCTAAGCAGGGAGGGAAGTAGTGTGGGAATCGCTTCGCGTGGAAAGTCGTGCGCTGTTAAGCAGGATGGGAGCTGGAATGGGAGTCGCTTCGTATAAACAGTTGTTTACACATTTAAAAATATATTTTAGAAAATTTTTGTTCTATATAATGAAAAAAGACATTATTTTTTAAACTTTCCTTCTTAATAACTTTAATGAATAACGAGCGATGGCTGAAACCTGTTGGAGATTACTTAGAGTCAACTACTTGACAACGTATATCAAGGTCAAGGTCATTGGAGGGAGGGGGGGTCTCCCCAATTTGGAATATTACGAAAATATATATTAAAGTAGAGAATTTAGAGATGTTTTTGTAAAAATCTAGAAGTAATTCAAAAATATCACTAATCAAAGTTTATAATGTATACAAAAGCTGTTTTTATTTTTTAAATTAAAAATTCAGCAAATGGATTAAAAAGTGGCGGATAAAGATAAATGAAGCCAAGTCAACTTAAGTCAATCAATTTTACGAACAAAAAAATAACATTCATTTCGATTGCACTCGATAATTAATTGGTTCCCATAGCAAGTACAGCGAAATATCTAGGCATGACACTAGATACAAAGCTCAGTTGAAAGAAGTACATAAAAAAGAAGAAGGAGTTTACTATCAAGTTCAGATATACTGGTTCACCGGGAAGAAATCTCAGTTAGATTTGCACAACAAGCTACTCCTCTATAAACAAATTTTAAAGCCCATTTGAATATATGGAATCCATCTCTGGAGTAGCTCTAAAAAAAGTAACACTAAAATTATACAATCGTTCCAAAATAAGGTGCTACGCTGCATAGTCGATGCATCTTGATATGTGAAAAACAATGATATTGACCATGACCTGAAGATGGAAGTTAACGAGAAAATCAGGAAGAATGTCGAGAAGCACAAACTCAGACTGCAGTCACATGTAAACTCTGAAATGCTCCTTGATAGGACAAACGAACTACGTCGATTAAAAAGAAGGAAGTCCCTAGATCTATACGAGAGAAGCAAATAAATCAGCTTGTACTTATGTACATTCTTTGGAAGATTTTCATTGGAAGGATCTTCTAATGAGTATTAATATCGATAATTAAGATTATCTGTATTATGCAAGAGAAATTGCTAGATACGTCGATAGCTTAGTTGCAATCATATTTATTAGATATAAAGATTAAGAATTTTTATTTTAGACCACATATGTGAGAAACACAATCAATACTAGAAATTTAAAATATCTATTGTAGTCAAAGTTGGATCTTCTTTATTAGTAATTCAATCTTGAATTACTAATATACACTATATATGTACTTGCATATTGTAGTCTTTTAGAACTGGCTTAGAATGCTCGTACGGAATATAGGAGATCCAGTTGAAGATTGAATTATTTAAAGAAATGAAAATCCAGCTTTGACCGTAATAGGTATTTTAAATTTTTAGTATTATTAGATATAATTTGATGGAGGAAAAAAAATTTTTTAATTATACAAAATTTTTTTAAACTTATCCAAATGATGTTTACATATCTACCTATATCTATTTATATATATTTTTTCATAAAAATCGGTTCGATTTTCATAAAAATCAGCCATTTTAGAGAAAATCCACTTTTTTATTTTGCTTTCCTCCACCAAAAATGCAATTTCAATTTAATATTTAGGAAGTTTTATATTTTAAAAATGCTTACTAACCAATTTGAGCTCGATAACGCCAAAATTTTGCTTATTCTGTTATAGCCTTTACAATTTCTTGTATTTGTGTAATTATTATATATCTTTTTATAATATCCAATTATATATTATATCCTTTTTGTAATGTCTATTGTATTTTAATTGTATTTAATTAATATTTGGTATATTTAAAATTTCAATATTATTTTTAACATCTATTTTAATGCTAATCTATTTTAATCTATTTTAAATGATTGAACTACTTTTTTGTTTAGCCATTACGTCTGCATAATGTAGATGAGAATGTTGCCAATGAGATTGATGATGTCCTTTTGAAAGAATCTGATAAAGAAGAAATTCTCAGAAAGGTACATTTAAGCATAAAATAGAGTGCATTGTTAACAGGAGTCCTATTTTATTCTTGTTTTAGAATATTATAATAGAAAAATTTCTAAAAACTTTTATTGAGTAACAAGTATATTTCTATACTATATTTTTTAAGTCTGTTCTTTGTCGCTGCACTGGATTGCACTAAAATTTTCTATCTTGCTTTTGCCAAACTTCAAATATATGTCTATTTATTTAAAATGCAGGAAATGTTTACGAGGATAAATCAATAAGTACTCGTGTTTGAAGACAGGCGGCATATTGTTAATGCAAGTTAGCATTACCATTGTATACTATCATCTTTTAAACGACGCCAAAATTTCAGAGTGATTCATGCGATAGTTTTGATTTGAGCAATTCGTAGTGAGCGTATTTGATGTTTTTCGATACAATAGAAAAAGAATAATATCGATAGGCGATAGCAATATCGATAGCAATTAATATTAATCAGTAATTCGCCTTTTATTGTTGGATCGAAAAACGTGTAAATAAATAAAAACGAAGTTGGATGTTATTTATATCAATATTGCTCTTTTCTCATTGTATTAAATCATGAATTTTATGTTAAGCATTTTACATTAAGAATTTTACAAAAATCAATCAAAGTAAGACATATAATAGCAGTCGTCTTGTTGTCTGACAATAAATTAAAGTACAATAGTGACATATCTAGAAAAAAAAAAATAAAAACGAATAATATATGTACATGATGTCTCGAAATTTTTTGCCAAGCGTTCATGAGAAAATACAGTATTAAAAAATTCTGAAAAAATTCCGAAAAAAATTCTCAGAACTTTGTGAGAAGAAAATAAATAATGTTTGTCTCTCACTGGTTTTTTTTGTAAAATTAATAGTATTTGAATAAAAAACTATCACATGAATCACTCTGAAATTTTGTATGGCGTCGTTTGAAAGATGATAGTACACAATGGTAATGCCAACTTTCATCAGCAATACCGCCTGTTTTCAAACACGTACTTATTGATTTGTTCTTGTATAGTTCAGACCGTAAAGAACAGACCGTTCATTTCAAGCAGTAATTTTTAAACTATAAATATTTGTATATAATACTATTTTTCCTTTAATAATCACAGATATTGTAACTAATTTTATGGTTTTTGTGTACAGATATTTTGGAAAGCACGTAATAGAGCGAAGGAAGAATTAAATGAACAGTTAACGCATTTTCAACAGAAGAGGACTGCGGGATTAGCTACAATTTTTGGTCCAACCGATATTTCTCTTGATGAGAGCATGTCTGATAAATCGCGCGAAACGAAAATTATTGAGACATATCTTTTGCCGAAAATGGAACCTTATTTGTAAGATTATTTACATATAATTTATTAACACTTTTTTATGAATTTTATATTAAGCATTTTACATTAAGAATTTTACAAAAATCAATCAAAGTAAGACATATAATAGCAGTCGTCTTGTTGTCTGACAATAAATTAAAGTGCAATAGTGACATATCTAGAAAAAAAAATAAAAACGAATAATATATGTACATGATGTCCCGAAATTTTTTGCCAAGCGTTCATGAGAAAATACAGTATTAAAAAATTCTGAAAAAATTCCGAAAAAAATTCTCAGAACTTTGTGAGAAGAAAATAAATAATGTTTGTCTCTCACTGGTTTTTTTTTGTAAAATTAATAGTATTTGAATAAAAAATTATTGAAATATTTAACGATATTTAGTAATTAATATCTTGTTAACTATTGCGAAAATTGCGAAATAGTACTGGACTTTTCGACTCAGTTTATTCTACTCTATCTACACAAGAGCGCTTGGCAAAAAATTTCGGAACACTTTGTATATAAGACAAATATAGATCATATTAAAATTTTATAAATAATTAAGATATATAGGCCAATTCTAAGTAAGGTTTTAAATTGTAATTTGTTCTCGTAAAATTTGTAAGAACTATGTCTGACATTGTAATTTTATGTATGCGTATGTTTGTAAGATCATTCGTACATCTATGATTTTTTTGTAAATTTTACGACTAACAAGAAGTTCGTAAAGACATTATATAAAGTTATAAGCATTTATAAGCTCTTACAAATCTTACGAGAACATATTACAAGAGCCCTACGATTCTGATTAGAATTGACTCATTAGTTGTCTTTGATATCAGATTTTTCAATAAGTTAAATTGCAATTGTAACAAAAATTGATATATGTATTTCTTTTTATTAAAATTTATAAAAAATACTAAAAAATATGATATTAACTGCTAATTATGTCAGATATTAAAATAGGATAAATGTGTTTTAAAAAACTTGAACTATTTTTTATAGCTTTTTTTAATTGTTGAATTAATTGTACACTACTCACAAAAATTAGAGGAATACTTTTTTGTAAATTTTTTGTAAAAAAAAATAGACAAAATTCAGGCAGCTGTAACTTCGTTAAAAATATACGAAATTTGAATTTAAAAAGTTTTAAAATTTGAGATCTCTACTTTCGGAAGGTTACTATTCTTTTTTAATTTCTGTGAGTTTAATAATTTTTATTCAAAGAAAACTGCGAGTAGAATAAAATGAGAAATCTTTATCTCACTTTGTATGCTTGTCTAAATAATTTTCTAAACACACACAGCGCTCTGCAATTATTTTTTGCAAAGATTAACATAATTTAGAATTTTTTTTAACGTTGCTTTGAATAGTTCCTCAATTTTTTTTAGCAGTGTATGTATTTAAAAGATGTGTTAATGATAATTCTAATATAAAGAAGCTCATATTGCTACGTTTTATTGTAATATAAATTATAATATAATATACAAAAATTTTGGAAAATTTCAGGGAAGACATAGAGAAAGAACATGTGGATTTACGGCTTTTTACGACAGCAGCTGGTCTAGCTACTGTATTGATAAAGATTTTTCAATTACGACCGGTATGGATCGATCGAGTACCTACCTTTGTTGCAAAAGATAAATCCAACATCAAAGCACGACTTCTTATTGGAAAATCGCGTAAGATGACGATCAGAGGACATCATTTTGTAGCGCATCAGTATTTTACAATAACTTACTGCAATCATTGTCAACTTATTATCGGCGGTATTGGACCTCAAGGATATTTATGCAATGGTATGTAAAATATATAATGTAAAAAACTTCCAAGAATTTTCTTGGATAAAAATAGAAATTTCTTTTGAAAATTAATTTCTATAAATGGGATAGTTTAATTGCAAAAATAATAATTAATAAAAAGATGTAAATTATATTAATAATAATATTAAAAGTAGTAATGATATTAATAATATTTATTATTAGCAATAGTCAGGGAATGGAAGTAATTATTACTAGAGATTCTTTAATCAGAGACTAGTCATAAGAATTTCATCAAATTTCTTCAAGTGTATCCATCACGTATACACACCGCCATTGGTGGAGGAGTGAGATAGCCTATAATTCTTTTCTTGCTTGGAAGAATTTGACGAAATCCTTCAATATAGTCTGATTAAAAGGTCTCTAATCATTATTTGTAACAATTACAAATTATTTTCTTGATAACTTTATTGCGTTACATTTTTTTTTTAAATAATCCTAATGGTAACGTAATTACATTTTTTAGTAACGGTAACGAATTTTATAGTTATTTTTATCGTTACTTTACACATGATTAGATACGGTTCGATTGGACACTAGCCACTCATAGTGCTTGAGATTAGGCACCCGTCCACTGTAATTGATGATCGTCAATTAAAAAAATAACAGAAAAGTAACGAAAAGTTACTTTCTCAAGTAACGATAATTATAACGAGTTACTTTAAAAAAATCGGTAATAACAATAACTTGTTACTTTTTTTATTTGGTAATACGTAGGCTACGTTTGATTACGAATAATTGTAACTTGTTATTTTTAACACTAGAACCATCGGAATTGAATATTCTCCCCAAGAATACCAGTCCCCAAGATTACCAATCGCGCCGATTTGGCTCTTATGCTTTCCTCCGATTAATAAAACTTTTGATATTATTTGCATTATTTATTGAGGTTGTATATATATGTATATATATTTTTTTCGATTATTCTGTATTGTATAGTATGAAAGAGAACAAGGTTGCCACAGATTTGGAAAACTGAGAAATTGAAATTGGTCATGAAAAACCGGGAAAAGTCAAGGGCAAATATAAAAAAGTCTGGAATTTTTAAATTTGCTCACAATTTCTTTAAACTGTTCCAATTTTAAATAATTATTATAATTTTTTAATATTATATCTGATATTTATAGTGAAATATATTCAAAACTCGTACACTTTAAACGATTTTAATAAAATAATTAAAATTTATATTTTATTCATTATTTTTATTTGATTGCCCTTTTTCGTAACTGCATTCTTTTTTCCAATACTAATTAATGTTTATTTGCTTGAATTTGCATCCAAAATTTGAGTATGCTACTAACCTTTTTTACGTTGTTTTTAATTAAATACTAAGTAAGTATAACGGTTCAAGTCTATAAGTCGAAGCTTGATTTGTAATGCCTAAATAATTTAATGTGAAAATTAAATTGACAAGCAAATTTTAATAATAATTTTGATGTTTAATCCGGTATCGTATAAGGATGTTAATGTGTGTATGCTGAAAAACTTTAAATACGAAGAGAAAAATAAGACAGAAAATATATCAGAATCATAGACGTATATAATACAGATGATTAACTCACACTGAGAAATATTAGTATACGATTATTTCAGAATATACATGAAGTGTCATTTTGATGACTTTTCGTGGTTTACAGTAAAAATAAAAATAAATAGCAATTTTTAATAAGCAGAGCCAAGTTGGCGTCGTCGGCGGTTCTACTGTTAAAAAATAACTTTCCCTAGCAATAATATTATATACATATACAATATAATATATATAAGGGTATTTCAGACCTAACTTGCTAATGGCAGATTCCTGAAGTCATTTTGAGACGAAAATTTAATACCAAAATATTTTGAGGTTATAATAGTTTGAATTATAATCATTTAAGGCTAGCAAATTATATCTAAAATTTGCGCGTTTAGATATGTTACAAAGTAAAGTAAAAGGTAAAAGCTAATAATGCCTTTTGTTAATATCGATATAAATATTACGTAGGCGAAAATAAAATTGCTGATATTTATAATTCTTAATATTTATTATATTAAAAAATATATTTAATCTGGATATTATAGTAAATTTTCGTCTCAAAATGATTTCAGGAAATTAGCTATTAGCAGATGGTGCGTCTGAAACATTCTATACATGATTAATAATATATTACAAAATAATATTAACAATATATAATACTAACAATACAATAATTTAACAATATATAATATTAATGTCTTAAATTGTTATAATTTTAAAAACGTTTTATAAGTTAACGGAACAAAGAATTAATTCTAATATTTTTATTTGTTGCTTATTAGTTACTAAAAAATTGTCAAAGAAACGAATTTGTTGTTCTGTAAGTCTTCTTAAAAAATAATGTTTCACTAAATGAAGATCAAGTGGAACAATTTGAGATTTCCAAAATTAAATTTTGTTCAAAATTTTATTTTTTTTAGTTAAATATGGCACAGTGTTCAATGTTGTAAAACTCATTTTAAGCTATTCTATGATGCTCTGAAAGCATTTCTACACCATCAATTTACGTATTGAAAAAAATCTTGACATTCAGAGTGCATTGTGTCCTTTAACTAAGGACAAACAAAATGTATTTAAACATTTTTAGCAACTATTTAGCAGTTTTGTTGAACATTTCACATCTTACTGATTGTAAGATAATGTACATATTGTTATTTTCTGTAAGACGCGCAGTTTTCTTGTGGCTTTCTTCCTCGTTTTCTAAAACTATATAGATATTCTTATTGAAGGTCTTCTTATTCCAATCCAATAATGGCAGCTTTAATTCTCTCTGTCAAAAATTATTACTCCTTGAAAAAAACTATTGTATCAAATTAAATATTAAAATTCAAACGCTGTAGTCTTGACTAAGTTAAATTTTATAAAATTAAAAAGTAAAATTCAAGTACTGTCTTTGTTATTTACTTAACTCTAATGTGTATCATTTGTATAAAAAAGAGATTTGATATCAATAACTGATGCCAAGTATTCCAAAAAATTTTATGTATCATTCATATAAAATATTTGATCGGCGCCAAGTTAAATTCCATATTAAATTAAATAAAAAGTATATAATGGTTTTTCTTAAAAGAAATTATTAGATTACAATCTATTTCAAAGATTTTCTCTTTCAACCAAACTAGTAATTATTTAATTCTCCTTCAAAACATTCAAAACGTTATCACAAAATTGCGTTACCTTGTCTATTCATGTATTATCATGAAAAGTTAAAGAAGTAAACACTTGGCGTTGCTAGATCGAATAAGAAAAACTGTAAAAACAATTCAGAAATTATAATATAATAGTCAATAAAAATAATAAATAATAAAAGATAATTTTAATGTATTGAATGAATTTAATCTGAATGTTATATTGAATGAAAATAAAGTTTATTTCTTTTTCCTTTTTCATAACTTATAAATCCAAATTTATTTATCTTAAACTTAAACCTAATAGCTTGTACAACTTTCATAATTTATACGATTATATAATCCAATCACATATATACTCACGCCGGATACATTTACTCTCATGAACGTTTCTTATTTTTAAATTAATTGACAGGCAATTGAGAGTAAAAAAGACACAGTTATTAGAGCGTTATAATTACAAATATATTTTTTAGAGACATTTATGATTTGATAAAATCGAATGTTTCGGCTCAGTTCGAGTCATCCTTAGTCCAAATAAAGTAAATTTAAAAGTAGTTCACTATAATTAGATCCGAGAGAGCTTCTTCAGTTTCAAATTTGAGAAATATTATTGTCATATATAATAGTTTTATAGCTAAGTAAACTAAAGATTGAAGTAGTGAATTAAAAATACTAAACAATGATAAAGATGTGCAGGATTAATCAAAGGACTCACCAGCTGTAAATTCTGACCAATATATCAAAAGAAAAGTAAATTGAAAAAATAAATAAATAAAAATCGTTAAGAGAACCGGAGAATCACACAATATTGAAATGACAGTTACAGTATAAAATACAACAAGTGAGAAGCATTGTCAAATAACAAACAGAACGTCCTTACAGAGTCATTAAAAAGTCATAAGTTAAAAGTGCACATAGATAGTCAACTAATGTAAAATACTGTATTAAGTCAAATCTTGTTTAAAATGTTGAGATAAGCATGGTGTAGGAACTCAGTATCGGATTTTAAATTTAAACTGTTTTCTTGAGACTTAATATGAAGCATTTTAAATTGAATTATTTAAAGTAATGAAGATCCAACTTTGACTATAATAGGTATTTTTCTAGTATTGATTGTAGCATTTCTCATATATGCAGTCTAAAATAAAAGATTTTTAATATTGTTTAAAGAAAAATGTTTCAGACAAAAGTTATATGGTTTGGAGGGAGATATAAGATGGTGCTACTGGTTTAACCTTGGAAAGTTGTTTGAAGGCCCTCAATTATCATTTCTGAAATAAATTCATTTATATGAATATATATAATAGTTCAACATCTTAACATTCAGACCGTAGTGGCGCTTCGTATTTAAAGTGAAATATATGAGATTCCATTTAAGAAATTGACCTCTACGTGATTTTCAAACAACTTTTCAAGATCAAATCTATCATACCATCTTATGTCTCTCTCCAAATCATATAACTTTTGTCTGAAACATTTTTTTTTCTAAAATTCATTGTTCAAGAGATATTTTAGTACGCCAATTAAAATGATACATCCTGTATAAATATATATGGAACGTTTCACGAAAAAAAATGTGGCATTTGATTTTTAAATGCACGAAGTTAGCACGCCATATTTTTATATTTGATTTTTTAATATAAGAAATGGGGAACTTTTTTTATTTTTTTACAACCATACAACCATAGAACTATGAGAAGTGCTTCTGAAACTATTATTTTTTTTTATATTAATAAAATGTCGTTCCACTTACGCAGATCTACTTATAAGTACTTAGTGACTCAATTGATTCTTTAGTTCTTCGTTGAATTTAAAAATATATAAATTAAATACAAATATTAAAGAATTATTAAACATTTACATACGAAGTTATTTTTTCTGCTGAACGCAACCAATGATAATATATAATTGATTGACAGATTGTTCCCTCAATGTACATCGACAATGTGTTCGTGTAGTAGAAGAAAACTGTCCAGGTCCTTTAATGCGAAAAGAAAGAGCCAATGATAGGATCAGTAAACTTATGGAACGTATTCGACCGGAAAGGAAACTTCCATCATCCCATCATTCTCAAAACTATGGATCCCATCGTAAGTATATCTTTTGATATTTCATACAAATTATATTCTTTATTAAACTAATTAGATAAAGAATTTTTCAATATTTAGCTTTTACTATTATAAAATTTAATATTAAAAATTATTCATTTGATACTACGAAATCCCGAAACATACTCATACACACGCACGCACACACACACACACACACACACACACACACACACACACAAACCCACTCAAATAAAAAATTAGCATTAATGTAATTCTCTTTTTGTGAAAACTTTGTGTGGAAAAATTATTAATATGCATGAAAAACTATTAATAGGAACCTTTGCAATAACGTGAATCCAGATACGATGAACGCTAAAGTCACGTTACCCTTTTCTTACTTAGTTTTTAAGAAGAAGATAATCCGATCTTAGCGTTCACCGTATCTAGATAAACAGTATTGCAAAAACTCTCTAATGTTTTTCATTTCGACAATTATGAAGAATAAAGGGTACAAATTTATTGGATTGAGATTACGTTACCATAAAGAAATTTGAAAAATTGATAGTAAAATTAATTATAATAAATTAAATCAATTTATTGTACATTTGTAGAGTATCGCTTAACTGCTTAATCAATTATCCGGTATTTCAAAAAGAGATTTAGATGGAATATTTACGTACATTTGGTACATCGATTATTCTGCGGAAATTACGTAGATGGCGTGTCATTTTCTGATTGGTTATTTTAATCCCCACTTTCGAGTAAAAACCCTTTACTTTTTTTTGTATTATGGAAATCACGATACTAGTTTCATTTCCCTGGCCGCCCCTGCTTACCTTTCATATTCGATTTGTGATACGCTAACTATTTCTCTTTGTAACTTAAAAGCTAAGCTTCGGACAAATTTGTGCCAAACGAAAAATTGTCTCAGAATATAGCCAGGAATATGTCTCTTTAAAGACAAAAAATTATTTTGAATCACTCTGTATGCCAAGGTCGAAGTCATTGGAAGTGAGTCCGTTGTTTTCAGTATTTACCTTATTTTTACCTGATCCAGCATCGGACTGGCCAGGGCGGCTAGTCGGCGATCGCCTAGAGCCCGGCCCAACAAGCAAGGCTAGTGACAAAAAAAAATCAGTCACGGAAACTATCCAGTGACTTTGAGCTCTAGGAGGACTTGTTAAAGAAATTACAAAAAGAGAGATCCCAAGATTAAAAAAATTAATGCATTTGCTTTTTAATCAAATAAAATGAAATTTTATACAAATTGGAATTAAAAATAAAACGTGCATATATGCATATTTTGTACGCGTTATCGTGATCTATGACTCAAAAATTGATGTGGTCTATTGGATCAAAATATTTTAACTCCATTACTATTGATGTTCGTTGGGAAAGACTTATTCGACAATATCGAAAAAGATCACGTAATTGATAAAATAGTAGAAACTAGTAAAGAATTGAAAAGAAAATTGTTAGTTTAATGTTATCATAAAACCTAATTGTAAATTTAATTTTAATTCATTCTGTGATATAATATTATGAAATTATAATAGCTATGACTGGTATTTTGATATTTTGATATTATGTATAATTTAACATATGTAGAGAGTACATAACTACACAGTATAAAGACTACACAGTATAAAGACATTTGTTTATAATAATTAAAAGTATTCATGTATTAGGTGTTGGAATTAATTCGTAGCGTTTTACAAGTGATGGGAAGTACTTTCATTAATGTATTTTTTAATGCTCATGTGAAATAAATAACATTCTTTCATTAAAAAACGCTACGAATTAATTCCAACACCTAATATAATTAAAAAGTATTCGTGTACACTCGCCTATTTTATTTTTATTTCAACTTTACTGAGTTTCTAAACATTATTCTTCACTGCACATTATATTAATAAGTGCTTGAAATATAAATTATAAGAAACATTACACACCGTTTACTTTTGATTATAATCTTTATATTACTAATAGAGTAATTATATGTATAGATCGCATTAAATTTGATTAAATATTATCGGTACAAATAAGTATGCAGTTACATATAATATAATTTTATACAGGAAGGGGGGAGGGGGTGTGACATTTTGTCGCAGAGAGCCCAAAGATGAGCCAATCCGACGCTGACTTGATCCATATGCTCGTAAAAGATTATCCATTTTTTTGGATACACTATAATTTAAAAATTCTAAAATTGTTATATATTACAATTATAAAAAAGATTCTATCAACTTATATGGAAAATGTGACTTATATGGAAAACTTTAATTAAATTGACTGAAATTGTGATTTACTTTCTGTAAATTATGAGTAAGCCACGGAAGTTTGGGCACGATCATGGAGCGCGCGGAGAGCCTCTGCGTTCTTTGTTTATATTGGCTGCGTTCAGCAGAAAAAACAGCTTTGCAACTATTGTACAACTATTGATTCTTTAACATGATTAATTTATACATTACAAATTCAGTAAGAAACTAAGAGCAAGATCAATCATATCAAAGAATTTTACAACAGTTAACAGCAAAGCTGCTTTTTCTGTTGAACGCAGCCATTGAATAGGCCGTGCGCCAGCAGAAATGTTGCTATTTCACTTCAACAAGCGACTGATTTGCGCGTTCTTTGATCGTGCCTGAACTTCTATGCTTTAATTATGGGATGTTTATCAAAAGTTTTGTGAGACGAAAACACAAAAAATGAACAAATTTTGCTAAAACACCATTCGAAAGTTGTTATTTTGGGTCTTTGGACTGCAAATTATTTTTTGATAAATATACCTCAATATCTTTATGCATAGAATAATATAATCAGATAAAGAAAATACATACATAGTTACTTCAAAAAAATTTTAAATAATTGCAAGTATGCAAATTGCATATTCTTGCATTCTTTAAAAGCAATTTACGTTTTCTTTACATCTATTAATTCATTTCATTATTTTATGCAGAAGAATTATTAAGGTATAATTACCTAAAAAGGAACAGTTTAGTACATATAAACACTTTTCAATCTGATAAAACCAAAGTAGCAACTTTCGAATGTTGTTATAATAAAATCTGTCCATTTTTTATGCTTTTGCCTACGGAAACTTTTGAGCTACATTTCATAATTCATGGAATATCAGTTTCAGCCAATTTTACCAAAGCATTTTTTTTCATATAATTTGAGATTCTTTCTGTAAAAAAAATTGTTATAATAAAATTTACACATTATAAGTCAATTAGTCAAATAATTCGAATTTTGTTTTATATTTGCTGACATTGATAAAACTGTTATTTTATGTTGCAGTTGACAAAATAAAGAAAAGTGAAGAAGATTCCGGTATACTAACGGATGGAGAAAATGGTAAAAGTATTTCTTTCTTCTTCTTTTTTGTCACGTTTTTATCACTTTATTTTTTTAAAAGTTTATGAAGTTTTGTAAAAATTAAATGAACAATATCCAAATATTTTGCAACATAATAATATTTTTAATGAAACAGAAACAGAACATAATAAATAAATTTGAATAGTTCCTACTGAACGCAGTCTGAAGATGCATTTTTAGGATTCAAATGTTTTCGCTCCAATGGCTTAGCGATAAAAAAGATCACATGATCAAATGTAACAGGTTTCCTAACTTGAATATCTGTCAACTTTAACAATTAATATCTCGATTCGTAGAACAGAGCGATATGTTTTTCTGTTAGATCATTTGTGCAATAAAGCACATTAATTATAAAATTATTAGGTCGAATGACCTAATATTTTTATAATTTATCTAACATATTCGAAGCACTTATATAACAAAAATATAATATACTGAAAATCGACAATGTTTCATTTCATATTCGCAGTAGAGACTCAATTCGAACTCGAAATTAAACTCTGTATATATATTATCTTTATTTAAAAGAACAAATTTAAAAGAATTGTAGCCATACGTTAATAGATCATCATTATTTTGACTTTAAATTATTGTATATTTAATTATTGCTGAAGAAGGACCTGCGATTTTCAAACATTCTTGTTTTTATAATATAAATGTGCTAAATTTTATTTCTTTTTTGAAATATTATTTTATTAATTGTAAAGTTATTTAGTGCAAATTGCAAATTTAGTAGTAAGATTATTAAATAATCATAAATATAAATAATTTTACAAGTTTTGATTTTAACTTTATATTGATACTTGTATTACCAGGTGAACATCGCGCGGGCAATTTGGCCGGAAACACTCGCAATAGCTGCGAGAGAATGCGAATTTCCAGTTTAGGAGGAACCAACGATCATGCCGACAATATGGACAATCCTTCCTCACGAGAAGACATTTCTGAAATGTACGTATCTAGATAATTGTACATTTACTTCTATATATTTCTATATGCTTTATGTATTTTTGTGGAAATTTTAATGATGCATTCGTCTATATTTTTTATACTTTAGTTTATTAAAATAATGAAGTGTAGTATTATAATGTTTTCAAAATTTTAGTCTTCGATTTTATTTACATCTTATTATTTTTTTTTTGTTTTTACTTTATACTATTTTAATTTTATAAATTTTAATTTTTATAAATCTGTCTAATTGGGGGACTCCGCAAATCATATGGAAAAAGTGATCTTGGTCAAATTGACTGAAACTGAACTTTTGTAGATTATAAGATGTTGATCAAAAAAATTGTTTTAGACAGTATCACAGAAAATGGACCAAATTTTGCTGTAGCATTGTTTAAAAATTGCTATTTTGAGACCAATTGAACCAAAAAGTATCTTTATCTGCTGAAATATTCATTTCTTGGTAATTATACACTAATAATTAGGATACGGATGTTCGGGCATGATTCGAGGCGCGTGCGGAGATTCGTCGTGAGATAGCAACATTTCTCGAGGAAATTCGAAGCCTGCCGACTGCATTCGATCTAATCGAATATGTGTACTTATCTCGGGTGGCGCGCGATTTATTATAATGTAAACAGAGCGTGAAGATGTTTTCTGTATTTTGATGTATTGATTTGAAATCACTTGAGAACATTTTCTTAATGCCGAAATCTAGAGAAAAAATTGGCCTCAATTGAAATTGACAAAAATATGATGTTTTTACAAAGTCGGACCGACTTTATTATAAGCGTTATTCTACCTATTTCTAAAAAAGAAAATGACCAAATTTTACGATAATTTTTTCGGTAAATTATGGTAAATTAGTAATTTTTGGAAACTGATAAAATGGAGACTGATAAATAAAAAAAAATAAGTAAAAGCATTCAGTCTTTAGTTGTTAAATTCGAAATGCTTTATTTAATTCATATTTTCATTTTGATAGTACATATTGGTACAATATAATATATTATATACCAATATGTAATATTAATATTTTTTAAAATTATTATATATTGAATATATGACACTTAAAAGACTAAGTACATAGTCTAAACTAAAGAAATTTTAAATAAGTTTTTTTTTAGAAGTTATTTTTTATTTTTTCTGAAAAAAATGTAATAAGTACTGTAAACTATTTTGTACATATTTTGATTTTTTTTATTTGTATTTTTATATTTTTTACTTTACAATTTAACTTATAAAGTTTTCATTTATTTGCTTGCTATTTTAGTGATTAGAATCTAGAGCTTTAATCCAATATGCAGTGTAAAGAGATGTAAAGTCGTGATATTTTCTGGATATATTGAGTTAGGGAAAAAATCTTTTTATAGTCGACAGAAAGAGATTTTTTACTATGCCGCTATTGTTTATTAGACGTATTAGATTATACATCGTTGGAAAGGTGTTATTTTATATAACATTTTGAAATAAACTGATCATAGACTTGAACGATACTGACGCATTCAATTAAATTTAAAAATGAATGAAAATGAGGAACATTTCCGACACATTTTATTTCTTTATTATAAAAAAGGAAAGAATGCTATGCAAGCAGAAAAAATTTGTTGTGTTTATGGAGAGGATGCTCTAATTAAATAAACAGCGGCGAATTGATTTCGAGATGGAAAGGATGTTAATGAGGCCATTTTTTGGATCACATCAGAATTATTTTAAGCTGTGCAATTTTATTTCTCTCGATGGAACTCACAATCCACTAGAACCGTTGTCCAAGCAATTAGATGCTGAGAATGAGAAACTCTTATATCACAGATTTAAAAAAAAGTTAATTGAATCGATTAAATGAATTTTGAACATTTTGAAAACATTTCCTTAACTGCGCATTTATGAATTAAACTACATTTAATCAATATTACATATCTATCAAATTTAATCGAAATTGGACTTCGAAAGTATACCGAATTCTTACTATAATTTTTTACATTTTAAATTCTAGATTTGACTTTATTAATTTTGTTACATTTAAGTTCAATTTTAGTATAAAATTAAAAAATTATTCTTCGGGTTGATTTTTACGCAATGATATCGAATATTAATACACACACGCGCGCGCGCGCACACACACACACACACACACACACACACACACACAAATGTGTGTGTGTGCGTGTGCGTGCGTGCGTGTGTGTGTGTGTGTGTGTATGTATTGTTTTATATTGTACAATTGATTTGCATCGTAGAAATTAATTTATGTTTTATCAATTATGATTAATTAGGGTCCAGCAAAATATTTCCAGTAAGCCAAAGACGTCAAACATCAACAGGTCTGAAAGTTACAAGGAGCGGATACATCATAAGGTAAATAAATACATTGTTCAGTTTAAATAGATATCATATAATGTTATAATGATTATTAATTTGTTTTATGATAGCATCAAAACTAAAAAAATCATATTTAATATAATTTTTGTTTTATCAAGAAAGCCATGCATAATTATAATGCATAATATTTTATAGCGTTTTTCACTACTGGGCCGTACTGAGTGCGTACTAAAAACTCGTTCAGTGGCAGCAGCACTGCCGAATGCGAGTTTTTGCAATATCTCGGAAAATATAAATTTTACAGAAGTATTTCAGGTAAAAGTAGGATTCAAAAAGATCTATTTACTGATCTTATCAATTTGATCTTGGCGTCGTCAAGGTTAGGTTAGGTTAAAGTCACATTGATATTTTTAATGGAACACCGTACGGTTCTTGGAATTTAATAGCTGATGTGGAAAGCTTTTAAAAAATATAAGAAAATAGTTATAAGAAAATATTTTTTCATTAAGTACTTCTTGAGTTATGATGCTTGAAAGTTATAGTATCGCCGGCATTAGCATTACGCAAGGTGTCCGATCGACGGCTTTTGAATGTTGTTCAGGATCATGTCCTGGATAACATTCGTTAAGATCAAGGTTATTGAAGATTGTTTCTCTTATTTTCATTTTTATATAAAAATGAATTCAGTGTAAACTTTTGTCTGATATACTTTTGTGTAAAACTTATACTTTCCGAGATATTCAGTTGTCCGATCTTTTTGGGACACTCTGTATATCCATATATCATGTGTCCACTGACACATTTTATATATTATATAATTATGTATGTTTATACAGGATGTCTCAGATCACCCTTTTATCTAGGGAACAAATCCTGAACGACATTCAAGAAGTTTTAGCCGTTGGTCGGACACCTTGCATAAAGCTAATGCCGGCGGTACAATTTTAACTTTCTAGCATTATAACTCGAAAAGTACTTCATGAAAAAATATTTTATTATAGCGTTTTGGAAAGCTCTTAAGGTGTGCTACAAGAATATGCAATTAAAAATAGCGAGTTTCATTTAAAAAAATTCAAAGTGACATTGCTCTGACCTTGGTGACGCCACCCAAGGTCAGACTAATCAGATCGCTAAATAGATCATTTAGAACCCCACAACTTTTGTTTGAAACGTTTTTTTTTTCTAAAATGTTCTGTTTCCGAGATAAAAGGGGTATATGGGTGGTTTGAGACATCCGGTATATATATATATATATATAAAATTCTTGCATTAAAACGCAAAAACTTGGCATTAGGCTTCTCAGTGAAACAGCGTTTTCATACGCACCGAAACGCTCAGTGAAACACGCTGCTTTCGTTTAGTGCGCACTTAATGCGCACCAATGCGCACCAATGCGGTCAGAAAAACGCTATTAGTTATACAAACGATTGTGTGTTCGTTTGTATATGCATCACATGTGCATTTCATAAGAGGAATAACAGATACAATATAATTAATGCTCCGATTCAGCTGAATTTTATATATATAACAGTTCAGCCTTTCTAATGTATGCTAAAATTATATATAATTATTTGCGAGAGAAATGCATTTAAAACTTTTCTTGTTGTGATAATGTAGAATTTTTTAATGTATTTATATATAATAATAATAATAATAATAATAATAATAATTTAGTCATTTAAAATAGTAAATTGAGAATATATTTATATAATACTTAGAATATTATTTTATGCTATTAAAAAATAAAATAACTTTTATGACGCTTGTCGTTATAAACAATTTCGACAATATTAAGAAATTAATATTTCTTCATCCAGAATTAAAATCACAAAATTGTAACATAATAACATTGTTGCATTCCGATAATGCACAGCGCACTCGCGGTAATGTAGACGCAAACGGAACCCGTAATAAAATTCTCTCTCATAAAAATATAAGAACGACACTTTTTTTAGCACTTTTGACAACGATAACAGAACAACAACAACAATGATAACAACATTGCTAAGAAAATCACTTCACTTTTAACAGGCAATAGATTTGTGGCAATAATTGTGTGTAGTACATCGTTTCCAATACTAGTCTCTTTTTTAGGTTGTTTCGAACATTATCATAGACACAAAAAAAAATGTTTGATTGAATTAACTAGAATTCTGATGGAAAATGAACAATTCAGAATTGTAGTTAAATTTCTGAAACAAGATTGGAAATATATTAAAATTCTAGTTGAAATAACCAACATTCAATAAATTTAACAAAAAATCTTGTAGATTTGACTAGAATTCTGGATTGTTCATTTTCCACCAGAATTTCAGTTGATTCAATCAAATTTTTTTTTCATGTAGATACAGTAGATTCATTTCTGAGCGACGGTTCTTTGCTCTATTCTAGGCTGCAAGCAGCCTACGTTATCGGGCTCGTCTTCCTCTTCAATTTGAGATTTTGAGAATTTGGCTCTTGTCATTGACGCGTGTCTTGTGGTTCTTCGGACCAAGACGAGGAGAACAACTACCGTAGTGCCTCGGCACTTTTCGCCTCGACATTTGCTCTTAGTTTCACGGAAGAACTGCGACTCAAAAATCGTGAGCGGCAGCCTTCTTACAAAAACTTTAGATTCTTCGATTCACTAGACTCCTGCGTCCTTGATTCCGTTCTTCTTCAGAAAAGCGAAATACTTGAACCGTACCGCTTATTCATCTAATCTCTAAATTTCCAGCCACAAACGCGAATCGCACTCTTTTCTCTGCCGATGGCAAAACTGTAATAAGCAAATGAGAAAGAAAACAGTATCTCTCCTAAATTTAATTATCAATGTAATTAATTAAATATCTCCGGGTCCCAAAAATCACCAACTCCGGATAGTTCTTTGACACTAAATATCTTTCACCCTAAATATCTATCCCTCCATGAAGGTCGCCAACTTATCTAAATGCACGATCTTATTCTTATGCCTCCTAAATTTCCGAATACAATTTACCACATCATTAATTTTCCTGATTACCTCATATGATCCTTTCCAATTATTTTGGAGCTTAGGGCCTCTTCCTAATTTCCTACTACTAAGAATTATAAAACCAAATCTTTTGTTGGTTGGTTCAAAGCTCAGTTGTCTGGCTTTACGATCATACAACGCCTTGATCTTTTGAGGTTTCGTTTTTATTCGCTCCCTCGTTATGCATATGCCTAATTTTCCTTTCAAGTCTAACAAATAATCTCTATTTGAGAAAACATTCTCGGTAGGAAGACAATCACGATAGAGATCTATTGGCAATCTCAACTCCCGCTCTAGCCACAATTCAGAAAGAATAAAACCAATTTCATGCCTTGAAGGCAGACTTACATGCCAGCAGGCTCAAAGGAACCCAGTTGTCCCAATTTTTTCGATTTTCCGAAATAAATTTCGCCAAATAATTTAACAGCATCTGATGTGACATTCTATCTGATTTGACGCAGTTCTTTTGTCATGCCTGCAACGTAATCACTTCCAAAGATTCTGAGGTTCTGGACGCACTGTCTCTTCCTCGCTGGAAAATGTTGCACTCCGATAACGCACAACGCAATCGCAATAATGAAGACGCAAACAGAATCCGCGTAATAAAATTCTGCTAAAAAAAGTACAAGAATGACACGTTTATTTAACATGTCAAACAAACTTTGACAACGAAAATAGGACAGCAACAACAATGTTGCTAAAGAAAAGATCATCGCTTTATTTTTGATAGGCAGCAACAGACATAAGTATAGTTCTGGCGAGGCTTAGCGGCGCCAGGATACTTTTTTTGGAAATCTGATGGCGTGACACCAAGATACTTTCTATAATTATTTAACAATAATATGATAATGTAAGGAAATGCCAATGTGAGCCAATACAAGTTATGTAATATATGTAATAATACATATATTAAAAATTAAATACAGACGTTTCAACCCTAGTATCTCTTCAGTGTATAAAACTATATTGACAGCAATCCATAGAAATATAAAGATAACGTGTGTAATTATCAAGTCATAAAATTTATTACATTCAAACCCTTGGAAGTTTTAAATTTATGATCCTATTAGAGAGAAAAGGAGCGGAAATGGTGAGAGAATGTCAGACTCTTGTCTCGCAGGTATCCGCAGAGGCGAGTCGAACACATCTCTTTGTATTGTTTCGGAATATGGATCAATGTCCCGCAAGAACGCTATGACATGTGTTTCCTACGAGCGGTGCGATCGTCGATCCAAATTTCGAATCAAGGAATCTAATCTTTTTAACTCGGGACTAGACCACGTGTGATCCCTGAAAAGGCAAAGCTGACGACTACAAGGTCTTAGGATTTTAACTTTAGAGAATGAGAGAGAGAGAGATAAAAAATTAATAACATCGTTTATTATAAAGATTATGCGTTTCGCGGGTTTCTTCCGTGTTCATTCTTGGCCAACGTTTCGTGAACCTTGCAGTCCACTTCATCAGGACGAGAAGCAGCCTGATACTGAGCTGTTCCTCCGGGCCGTTCTTTTTTATATTACGCTACTTGTTGGAGTGGTGGGGGAAAAGAAGAGAATTGTGGGGAGAATAGGGGAAATTGGTCAGTCTTCAATAATCGGGAGAATGGTTTTTCATATTTTATTTATTTTGTAGCCATTATATTTAGATTGTTAGGGTGTTTTTGTATCTCTATGGCTTCTCTATACTTTCTTGGAAAGTATGATGGAAAGTATAATGGAAAGAATGACTATTGTTGGCTATCGTTTTGTCAAATAGTATTTGATGTCCTGTTTCGATGTTGTGTTCTGATAATGCTGATTGCGTGACATATTTTAGCCTAACACACGTTGGTGTTTTTTTATCTGTAGATTGATCGTTCTCTCGGTTTCTCGAATGTATACTTGCAAGAATAAGGTATTTTGTATACTCTTGCGGAGCTGAGTGGAGGTCTTTGATCTTTAGGATTTCTTAAGATTTCTATCCTATCTTTTTGGGTGGTTTGAAGATAGTTCGGATATTGTATTTGTTTAATATCCTGCTAATCCGATTTGTTGTTCCTTTGACATATGGGAGAATGGATAGAATCCTTTCGTCTGTCAGATCGTGTGTCAGAGACCATTTTGTTTGCACGTTTATTGATTGTTTTGATTATGTCTTTTTTGTCGTGTCTGTTTTTCTGTAAGGCTAATTTTAAATGATTGAGTTCTGTCTGTAGATGTTCTTTGTTAGAGATAATGAAAGCTCTATGCACAAGTGATGAATTGATTGTAGACTGTTTTTATGCTGAGTGGGACTCGGTGCGACTCGGCATAAGTATCTATTTGTGTGTGTTGGTTTTTACACTTGATGGCCTAAGGTGCTGTCAGCTTTTTTAGACAAGAATATCTAAGAAAGGAAGTTTTCTGTTCTCTATGTCTATAGTGAAGTGGATATTTGGATGTTGATTGTTGAGGAAAATAAGGAATTTACGGAGTTTGGCCGTGTCTTCATATCGAATGTGTTGTCTACATAACGGAACCAATCTTCTGAGTTTTTGAGTGTTTTTCTGAGGGCCTCTTTCTCAAAATGTTCCATGAAGATGTTGGTTCCATGAAGATTACAGGAGAAATAGCAGAGCTCATTGCCGCTCCTGAAGTTTGTTCATAGATTTTAATGTTGATTTGGTTTTGACTGGGAATGTTGCTTTTTTCACCAGGATCTTAGTGTTCTGCGTGATTGTATTAGTTGGATCTTTGTCAAGCTTTTGTATGCTTTATACGAGAGAAGGTTCTTCATCTTTTTCTTATAATCTGATGTGTTCATGACTACTGTTGTGTTGCCTTTGTCGGCTGGAAGTACTATGATGTCTGTGTCCCTGTTCAGGTTTTGGAGAGCCAATTGCTCTTGTCTAGTGATGTTTGTTGGAGGGGGCGGAGAGGGGGGTTTGACTTTGGAAAAGATATTGGTTACTTGTTTGCGGATATTATCTGCTTGTTTTGATGGCAGTCGATAGATGGTTGATTCTATTTGGCTGATAATCTCTTCCTTTGGAATCTTTCTAGGTGTCACTGCGAAGTTAGGACCTTTGGCAAGCGCAGATATATAGTGTCTTGAGACAAGTCTTTGTTGGATAGGTTCTTGACGTTAAGTAGAGAGGATTGTGGATTTTTGTGAGGGACAAGGTTTATGTATTTCTGTTTCTGTCTTTCAGAGGATTGTGTGAAGGTCTTCATGGCATGTTCGTATGTAATACGATCTAGGGTTTTATCTGAACTATTTGTAACTTAGTGAAATGGATGTGTTCTTTGATGAGCATAAAACTGGTTTTATGAAGGATATTTTATCGTTTATTATTACTAATCATTACTAATTTATCATTAACGCATTACAAGGTTCAATAGAATTATAGTACAATTACAAAAAATAAAGGAAAAGGTTACGCATTAATTAAATTATTGTTACAAACTAATTAATTACAATAATTGCAATAATTAATTATAATTGCAATAATAATAAAAAAAAGAAAAATTTACAACTTGACGAGATTATTATTATTAACTATTTTATATGTTATTAAATTGCAGAGAACGATTTCATCGAAAATAAAATTATTATCATCATTATTTTATTTACAATTGCTCCTTACATATGTTTGCTATAATCGATCGTTTTCGAGACCTTTTAGCGTTTCCGGACTTTTTCCTGTACATGTATTATTAATATGAATCATGAACTGTAAAATATTTTCTATACTTTTTAAAATGCTTTTTAATGTTTTGAAATCGTTAATGCGTGAATTATTTGGATAATCACTACGTTGTACGCAGTGAAAAGATCAATGTATAATATACATAGTTTTCACTTAAATTAATTAAATTAATTAAAATTGCATGTTTTAATTGTAGCGGCAGTTGAGAGAAAAAAGGAAGACCAGTGATCCGAATCTGTCCAAAACAAAGTGAGTAGTTTTGTTGTATGAATATTTATAGTATTGTTAAAAGTGACTATGAAGGATAGAGAAGGATTTTCAAATTTATACAGCATTGCTTGCGATAGTTTTTATTGCAACCATATTAGATGTCAGAAGCAAAAAATTATGCAAGTTTTTGCACACATCAAAATGTATTAATTCTTTACTATTCTATGATACGTATCAATGTACAGTCCTAAAAATAAATGTGTCCAGGAGGTGATTTGAATAAAATAAGGGGGAGGGGATTCGTATTAGTGAAGTGCTTAACATTTTATTACTGGCTTAGGATAGAGGCTTTTTCGTTCATTTCTCGCGCTAATATTATGTTTCTTGATGAGTTTTACTTTGTTTTGAAAAAGTAACTGCAGTTTATTTAATTGCTCACAAGATGATACAATAGTAATACAATAATAATACAATAAACTCGTTAACACAAATCTTGCAACGCTTGCAAAGATTTCTCGAATCTAACCGGAAACGAACACGCTCAGAGAAAAACAACGAACTGCTTTTGAAGAAAAGAATTACTTTCTTCGACAGAAGGATCTAAAACTTCGTTTACGATATCTCGAAACATAACCTTAACGATATATCGATTAATGCCTACGATTACAATATATTAACATCCTCTCTTAATCATAGACTGAAATCAAATTTACAAATACATTCTAATAATTGATGAATTCTAATCACACACGCACATGCACACACACACGCGCGCGCACACACTGTAAACAATGTGTACGAATTCAGATAAGAATCAATTGAATTAATTGTTTTTGTTACAAATACTTTAACGTTGACCGTAAGATAAACGTACCAGTATCCGGATATGTACTTATTTCGGGACACTTACACAAAATTTATTATTATTAATCTCAAATACTTTTTTTATTATTGTATTATAATTTAATTGTATTTAAAAAGTACAATTAAATTATTTAATATTACAAAAAAAGTTTTTAAAAAGCGTATTGAGACCATTATTAACTTAAATAAATAAAATGTTATGTAAATGTTCGGATACGGGTACATGCTACATGTCTAGTCACTGGGATCGGACAGTGCTATGTCTGGAAACTTACAAAATTTTATTTATTTAAATTAATATTAATTTCAAATGCTTTTTATCTTAAAGACCAATTTAAATTAGTTGTCTTTTGTGATTAAACATCTATATATATTAATCTTTCCTATCAGCATAACACAATTTTCTAATTCTGGTCGGACTCTGAGACAATTACGTCCCAGTGTCCGACCTGTCTAGTCACTGATACATTGATGCATCTATTACTTTATTTAAATATTTAAATTAATAATTGTTATAAATGAATTGAAATATTTGTTTGCTTAAGGGAATCTTGAGTTTTCAAATGAATACAAATATTTATATTAAAAACCTTTCTGATATTATAAATTATATTATTTCTGACAACCTACACTTAAACATACCAAGCTACTAGTATGTTTACCTTATAAGGATGTAATTATAATATAGAATGTAAAGAAAAAACTATAGCTGCGTAAGTGTTTGTGAAATTTTATTGAGATTCTTAAGAAGATAGAAATTTAAAAAATTAAAAATTTATTTTATTAGCCTAAAATGTATTTACATCTCTACACAAGAAGAAGATTAAGCGAGAGAAATCTTAAATTTTGGTCAAAGCGGATCTTAGTGCTTAAATATTTCTGTGCGAATTTATATACATATAAAAATATTAATAATAAGATGTTAAGGAGAATCTAAATCTGCGAATAATTTTATTGTGAAAAATAATCGTGAATGCGTTTCAAGACCGGAAAAGATTTCGACGCGCAGTTTACAGAATATTATATATGTATTTAAATTCACAAAAAAATATTTAAGCACTGAGATTCATCACTTTGACCGAATATAAGATTTCTCTTCTTTAATTTGACGTAATCTGTAAATGTTATAAACTTTAGGCAGATAGTAATCTCAAATGAAAGACACTTTGTGTCATGAGATCCGTAATCAGAGTTTGGAAGTTAATGTATTTATAGCGGTTAATGTATTTATCTGCCCTACTCGTTCCTACCTATCGCTAACAGTCAATTACTAATAGTGGTACTGATGAAGTTCAAATAAAATAAAATTGGTAACTTGGTTTACTTTACAATGTTAAAAAGTCCCTAAAACTAAATTTTATATAATATAATCAAATTTTTTAAAATTCGGTCCTCCGTACTAGATCCTCCATTTTAAATTTTATATTTTTGATTTTACAAGAGAATCTTGCGAATTGTTAATTTTGATTTTAAAGAAATTGTGTATACATATAGTTTATGTAAATAGATGAATTTAGAAAATATTAATTGCAGTCCAAAAACGGTTTTAAGGGGTGAAATCAATTTTTTGTAATTTTTTTTATTTATATTTTTTATCTTAACAAATTTTGTAGTAAATTGTATTATTGTATTATTGTATAATAATAATCATTTTAAATATTATATTTTTTAAATATTTTTATTTGTTAGCTAATTTGATTATGTTAAATTATTTGTAATATGATGCGGTAGTTACATCTACTCTACAGGTACTCTACGAGTACTTGTGCAATGTGGCTACTGTGGTGTATAAACTATGAAGTAAGTCCAGATTTATAATAAGTGTTTTAAGCTTTAAGCCATAAGAAATTGACCAATTACAAAGTCAAATGCGAGGAGGATAATTAATTGTGATTCGTCTATTCTTTATGGCTTAAAAATCTATTGTAGATCCGGGCTAATATGGGTACCACCCGCGTATCCTAAGTACCCATGTAATACGAGTACTCGCGAAATCGGTCTTTATCTATGTGCAACAAATGACTAATGGCGGGTGTCAATTTGCAATACAATCCGGTTTTTTTTCTCAGTACTAAAAAAAATATCAAAATTCGGAAGAGGATTATCGTCGATAATTATCAAATTTTGCAAAAATAAGAATAGATTATTAGTCTATTGGGAAAAGTAGTAAGAAACACGCATTATGCTGTCTGCTGTGTGATGTGGAAATGACAGCATTTTATCATTTTCTTGCCACAATAGAACACACAGAAGGAAAAAATTCAATAGTGTAAACATCGATTGATATGTGAGTACACCTAATTCTAAAATAATTATCTCTATTTATAATAATATTACGTTTATTTATTTACTATTAGTAATATTAAAAAAAAAAATTTTTTGTAGTTTGGAAGTTGCTGTTAACAAACTTGAAGTGTAAAATTTTTATTTTAATTAAACTTCGTGTACATATGGATTACGTAAAAAGATGAATTCAGAAAATATCAGTTATTACTTGAAAAATAATGATTAAATATATTTTTTTTAATATTATTGACTTAGATCAATACAGGTAATTTTACAACTTTTGTATAAAACATTTCTCAAATAGTTTCTGAGAAAAATGCTTAAAACCGTCTTTGAGTCGCAATTAATATTTTCTAAATTCATCTATTTACATAACTTATATGTATACAAAGTTTTATTAAAATCAGAATTTAACACTTCGTGAAGCTTTCTTATCAGAGTCGAATAAATCATTATTTCATGGGTCAAATTTCACGAATCGAGTAAACACATAAAATAAAAGGGTTACAAAAGTGACCACTCATTCTCTATGTTAAGATTAATATTTATATACCTAGAATGACTATAGAGAAATCGAATTGTATTGCAAAAGGATATATGTATATATATATATATATATATATATATATATATATATATATATGGTATTTTATTTAAAAAATATCAATGATATTTATATTATTTAAAAAATGAGAAGCTTGTTATAAAAGAGTTATGAAATGTCGTGGCTCCGCGTGAGAGCGATGCGAGAGGACTTAATAATCGGCAAGTCGCGAGTTCAAATCTCACATTGTGCATATGAAAAAAATTTCGTAATTCGTACTGACTTACTAGTGAGAATCACAGAGAAAACTCTTTAGATTTACATGACTTTGACTATGTTTTGATTATGTTAGAGACTGATATGATTATCCATCTTCCCGTCATTACTACTTCTACTATAACATTACTATACTACTATTACAATTACAAAAGACTAGTTGCATGCGTTATACTTTTTCTTTAAACTGAAAAACTTTTATTCGAAACTTTTTAAAAATCACTTTTGATTTATGGATTTATTGAAAAGTTAGCGTTTTTTCTCTATATAGGTACTTTATTTCGAGTGTGAAAAAATGTAATACGCTACAAGTAGAGAAAACAGACCGAGATATTTTCGCAGTGCATTTAGCATGTTACGCCGCGCGAAGAGTGAAACTTTTTTTGTTTTTGCGTTGTTACATCGATAAAAAGCACCTTACTATTCACAACTATTACTATACCGTTAAAAATGGCATTCAACCAGATGCCTGGATCAGGCTACTCGACCCGGTAGCGTGTCTGCGTGTCGGTAGAGTCGCATGATACGCAAGTCCGTGGATCTTTTGGCAGCGTTCCTCTTTTTCGCCTTGCTTCTCCCGTCGCTTTTTCATAATGAACGTACGCGAAGAGCGCAGACTCGGCTCACATATCTCGTTTCTTGTCGTGCGGAGGTGTGTATACAGAACCGTTGCTCGAAAGGCCTTCAGTATGACATTAAACGTTCAATTCCGCGGATGGCTATTACGTCGCTTTGACGGCACGGAACACCCACGTTTTCGGGGCATTTTTAAAACGACCGCTCTCCCTTTAATCCAGTCGAAAGCTCGATTACGCCGTTGCCGTTCTTGTTCACGAATCGTGTATCATTTGCATCACTTTTATAATTCTTTTTTCTTAATTATTTGATAGTTTATTAAAAATTGTGTTAAATAATTTCCACGATTTAAATGAATAAAATACATGGATTAATAGGGAAATAAATTCTTGGAAAGTTTGATGACAACTTTGGTGATTAAATTTTTGGTTATTAGATTTTTACAAACAAAAAGAAACAAATTCACTTAATAAAAATTCATTTATGAAAGCTTATTTATTCAATATTTATCTTAGATCATTATTTATCTTCTGAAATATTCATCAAAATATTTAAATATTTTAAAATTGTTTTAAACTTAAATGATTCCGGACATAATAAATATATTTTTCTTTCAAAATTTCTTTCTATCGCGACTGTTAATTGCTTTTTACAATGTAATTACAGCTTTTTATTTTTTCGTATTTTAACTGATTAACTGATATCAAAATAAATTAAAATATACACGATACATACATATACCATGATATCATTTGGAAGCAATTCAGAAATTTCATATAAAGGTAATCGTATAATGAACAATTCATACATTAAAACATATGTAACTTATTTTATTGATTTGTCTTAGATACGTATATCTTAGAATATATATAATAAATATTTGCAATATTATTTAAAGATCTGCATTTTTCTTATATCTTCAGATTCAAGAGATATTTAAACATTTTCGATGACTTCGTATCGCTTATTAAAATGCTTGTATATATTGCTTGATGAAATTAAAAGTTTGGTAATAGAAATGAATATAACTTTTGTAGTAAATACTTGATTAATGCTTCTTATTGTGTTACTTTATAATTCATTATATTTTGATTACACTAATTAACCCTTTGATGCATCAGTGTCCTATATGGGACTCTTGTTTTTTGCAGTTTTTATAATTGATTTTTATAATTGAGCATTTCATAATTGATTTCTTCGAGGACTTCTCTAATATATTTGATTTACCTTTATGTTTCTGAGACTTATATGTATACACGAATAACATGATAAAATGTAATCATTTTGCGTTAAGAATAAATTGTAATTAAAATATCAGTCCAAATTAGAAGCAAGACAAATTAGCATTTGAAAAAAATCAATGTTGGAAAAAGTAATAAACATGTTTCGAAAATCTTTGTATTAATGTTTTTGAGGTAACTTTAAATCTACATTAAAAATTAAAAAAAAAATTTAGCTGTAATGTTTTATTTGCGGTATATTTACGTTTGTGATTTCTAACTCCACGTCTTCAATATTATGCTAAAAACAATTTCGTTATTGAAAAGAAGTAAGGATCTCTTCGATATTGAATCTGCCATTTTTAATTTTTTAATTTTTACTGAAGATTTGAAATAAAAAGTCTAAAAAACTTTTATATATAAAATTTTAATTATTCATAAATTATGATTAAATTTCTTTTAATTTGGTCGTCAATTGAATTTGCCTATTTGAATTTTTTAATTTTGAATTCAGTATGCCTCGTTTGTAACTTCTATCGTTATCGTTACATACCGAAAATCGTCATTTGCGTCACTATTGTAACGATAAAGCTTTTTTGCAACTTCTTTCAGCGATGTATTGATACAAAATAGGATACCGACATTCATTATTATAGTCCGGGAGATGATGACACTAATTTGTTTTTCATTTATTATCGTTTGAAATTGTCATGAATTCGTAATTTATTCGATAAACACGAAGGAAACGCAAGTATGACAAACCTCTCACGGTTTTAAAATTGATGACATGTAATTGAAGTTATAAAAAATTTTTTGCTTTTTTCTTAATATATGTTACCTTTTAGGATGATGAAAGATGCATCCATATTATCGAAATGAATGAATAGTTTGGGGGATGGATAGTTTGATGATTGCGAGGGTTATATGTGGCCAGTACCAATAATTGACTCCAATGCGATTATTAATCTCTTTATTACTCTGTGCGTTAACAGACTGTCCCCTTCACATGACCAGAGTCAGAGGATAAGTCAATCCCCCGCTTTTCTCTCTCGAATATTCTTATTTGTCCCGAAGAAACCGATTTTGTTTTCTCGAATATTTCAAATACACAAAAATATATGCAATCTAGCGACTTTATTTATAACGCGTCTCTCGTTTTTCGCTGTACCCGCTTTTCGCTGTTTATCTTGTTAGTTTACTGTCTAGATTGTCTGTTTGTGTTTTCCTTTTTTTTTTCCATTCGAACAGCTGAGAACTTTTGCACGGACTAACATGTATTCGGTATCTCTTGCGAACTCCTATGCTACTCTTTTCTTTAAGATACGAAACTGTCATATTAGTTTTTAACTTGCAGGTGGAGTAGTGGCAATAAATTCGCCACAATATCCCCCTGCCAGTAATGGACTTACTTCACGATGTAAATACTAAATCTTCATGTTTCAGTCATTTAATCCGCGAATTATACATGAGCGCACTCGATCAAATAAATAAATAAATAAATAAATAAACTAAGTTTTACACGCGGCGTCGCGTGTCATCGTAAAAATACAGATAAGATAAATAAATTATGTATAATTACTCTATTGCGTATGCTAAGTTCGTTGTGTGTGTCGCGTATTTTTTTCTTTTCTTGCTATTTAAATTCGCTATTTTGCTATTTCAATTTTTTAACAATGCTTCTGTTCATTATCATCCGCCTGGAAACGATCGGGAAAGCGAACTCTTCTGCCTGTTCTCGTCCTTGGTTGTTGCCAAGATGTTGGCTCGTTTTCGGTTTGTCCCGAAATCACGTCTTGCTCGTCGTCGTCCCGGCAGGCTCGCGCGTCAACATACTCCGGTGCGTTGCTGTTTTCTGAAAAAATGTAAGCAGGCTTTAATTGATCTATTGAAATTGTCAAATTGTGATCTATTGAATTGTGTTCTTCCTGTGTATATTCACGACAAAGCTTGCGATCGTGACTGACGACCAGGTATGGTCCGTCTTTCTTTGACACGGTATGCACGATCGCGCCCTGCAATCCGCTCTCAGGGATAGCCAGATACAGCGCTGCGTCACGAGCTTCGCCGTTGCCTTAATTCCCGGATGCGCCAATGATCGATGGATCAGGTCGAACGCGGGTTGACGGAAAGGCCCTGTCAGGAACGACCGGTCGAGTGTCGCAGTACAGAGCCACTCCTGTATCCGAAATCGTTAACTTCTCCAACCGCAGGCCGAACTCTCGATGTAGGAATCCTGCAAGTTCCTCGTCATCCTGTTGTGAACTCGCAAGTGCAGCAAAGTTTAATGGTGATTGTAGCTCTTCTATACTTGACAGCGCATCTGTTACGACAGATGATTGTCATCGCCAGACACGTGCTTAATGTCAGTCGTAAATTGTCCGATGAAATCCAAGTGGCAAAATTGGCGTGGCATGCACTTCTCAGGCTTCTGTCTAAACGCAAAAATTAACGGCTTGTGGTCGGTGTAAATGATGAACGCCCTCAGCATATATCGAAAATGTTTTACCGTCAGATACATGGTCAACAGCTCCCTATCGAAAGCGTTGTATTTCGATTCGGCTGAACTTAGTTTCTTGGAAAAGAAAGCTAAAGGCTCCCAGCCATTGTCGCCTCGTTGTTGCAACGTCGCTCCGACGCTGTGGTCGGACGCGTCGATAAACAATGCTAGCTCGTCAATCTTCGGATATACCAGCAAGACCGCTTGAGCCAGGCTCTCCCTCGATGCCCTAAACGCCCGCTGAGCTTGTGAGATCCATGTTATCGGCGTCTTCTCCTTGATGTTATCGTGCAGGAGGTCGTTGGCGCAAGCACCTCAGCACTCTCGGCAGGAATCTCCTGTAAAAATTCAACATGTCTAGATATCTACGAAGGTCCCTAGCCATCCTTGGCACTCTATATTCTCGGATCGCCTGTACTCGCGCGGGTCTGCACGGCAGTGGTCGAGTTCCTTCTTCGGTAACCAAATAACTGAGAAATTCCACCTCCGACTGGCCAAGCACGCACTTGGTTGGGTTGATGATCTCATATTCCTGTAGTCTTTCAAATAATATTTCGAGATGCTTCATGTGCTTCTCTGCAGAAGACGACGCGACCAGGATGTCGTCGATATATACGTAGCACCAATCAAGGCCAGGCAGAACCTCGTTCATAAACTGCTGGAACGTCTGCGCCACGTTTCGCAGTCCAAACGACATGTACGGAAACTCGTATATGCCGAACGGCGTCGTTATTGCAGTCTTCGGCACGTCTTCCACCGGATGACGTATCTGATGATACGCCTGGACCAGATCTATGGTAGTAAAGATCTTCTTACTTCGAAGCTCCTGTGCGAAGTCCTATATATGATGTACAGGATAACAGTCCGGTATTGTTCACGCGTTCAGTGCCCGATGGTCTCCGCAAGGTCTTCATTCTTCACTCTTTTTTGGTATTAAGTGCAGAGGCGACGACTAACAGCTCTTTGATGGGCATGCTATATCGAGCTCGACCATCTTCTGGAACTCTTTTCTAGGATAGTGAGACGATACGGTGCGAGTCTTCGCGGCTTGCATGTCACGGATGACCCCGTCATCGTTGCGATATAATGGTGCATTTCGTGTTTTGTCTCGCCAGGCCGCCTTTCCAGTCGCGTCATCTCCGGATATCTACTACCGCATCATCATCTGCGTGATTCGGCATCTTCCCAGTGACTGTCTTGATGCTAGGCACATTGCAACGCGATCGGGTGCAGTCAAACTCGTGATTCGATCGACGAGAATATGCCGCCCTGCATATCGATCAATAAACCGAAATGCACGAGGAAGTCGGCTCCGATAATCGGCCTCGACACATCGGCAATCACGAAACGCCAAGTGAACGACCTTCGCAATTCTAAATTTAGCGTCAATGTTTCTATCCTGTATGTATTTATCACCGTTCCGTTCGCGCAACTAAATGTGGCTGAATATATGCAGGCAAACGGCTCAACCAAATTGTTTGTAAAATTTGGTCTCCAACTACGTTTCCGGCGAGACCACGAAGGTGTCGTAAAAACTGAGATAATTTGCGATCTCCAATCTCTTCGTGCTCCAAAAGTCGACGCATTTTGTGCTCCTGCGACAGGCTGAGACCTTAAGTCTAATTAATTCATTTTTTAATGTTTCGTATGCACGTTTCGCTGGCGGATTCATTATAATATCGCGAACTTCGGCGGTATATCGCGATCCTATCGCCATCAGAGCGTAACCAAATTTCGTTGCGTCAATTATGATTCCAGCAGCTTTGAATGCTGCGATCGACTATGTGAAACTACAGCTCCGGATCGATAGGTGTAAATTTCGGCATTCTCATGCTCACGCGGCTCATCTTGGCTCTAGATAAAAAAAGATTCGGCATCTGCGTCATATCCGCCGGCTACATCGTCGATGTCGACTGTTGCAATCGCCGCTGTTCGAGTATCTGTCTCTCTTGCTCCAGCTATTGACGTTGTTTGAGCTGTGCATGTTGCTGTTCCACCATCTAGGATGGTGCACTCTCTTCACGTGTAATCATCATTATCTCACTGCTTATACCGGTCACAAATCAAGTTCACTTTTTTTTTATTCCCGTTCGCGCACTCGCGATAAAATAAAATAATTTTTTCACTCACGTCAAGCGGTAATCACTTTGGGAAATTTGATGATTGCGAGGATTATATGTGGCCACAATATCAATGATTGATCCATGATTGCGAATATTAATCTCTTTATTACTCTTCACATAGTCGATCGTGTATTAACAAATAGTCCCCTTCACACGATCAGAGGATAAGTCAATCCCCCGCTCTTCTCTCTCGATTCTTATTTGTCCCGGAGAAACCGATTTTGTTTTTCTCTTGAAATATTCTAGACGTTTTCAAATACACAAAAATATATATACGCAATCTAGCGGTTTATAATGCGTCTGTCGTTATTATTCGCTTTTCGTTGCCGCTGTTTATCTTGTCAGTCTACTGTCTAGTGATTGTCTGTTTGTGTTTTCCTTTTTTTTTTCATTCGAATTTCATTTGAGAACTTTTGTACGGACTAATATATATTCGGTATCTCTTCCGTATCTATGCTACTCTTTTCCTTGAGATGCGAAATTGTCATATTAATTTTTGACTTGCAGCTGGGAAAGTGGTGATAAATTCACCACAATAGATTCATATGAAATCTTTGAATGAGGATGTAGGCTCGGTTCGCGGCTTGATGTCCGGTTCAATAATCTAGACGCACTCTTATGTGCCTCTGTGTTACACTACACATTACACAGAGATTGAGGATTGAAGATTAAAATTCGATGACTCATTTATTTCGAGAATCGAATAACTTAAGATATTCATTTCAATAAAGAATCGAATCTGAACTCGAATTCGGCTTCGGATCTGGATTCAAGTTTTTTCTAGACTCGAATCGAATAATTTAAATATTAGATTAGAGATACTAGACTTTATTATATTCAAAATCTTTTAGAGTGCTTTCCGTTTCATAATGTACATAATGCATCATTTATCTTTGTCATTCATCGAAAGTTAAAGGATAAATGATGCATCATGCGCATCATGCATGAAACAGAATGCTCTCATAGTATTCAAATACCGGACCATTAAGTATCCAGCCAATACAAAAAGGATTAAAGTTGAAAATTCTATCAATATTTTTGATATAAATAAAAAATATACTTTATCATGTAATAAATATGTTTTATCAGTCGACTGTATCTAATAGTAGAAATTAATTATTTTTAATATAATTTTAATCTGGATATAGTAAGTAAATCAACTATTTATTTTTTTCAGAACTTAAATAGGTATTTAAAAATAATATTTGGTCAACTTTCTTTGATTCTAATCTGTTTCCATCTTTGATTACAAATGAGATCTGTCTTAGAAAATACGCGTTCTGACGGCACCGATATAGCCAATATACTTAAGTGACATTTCATATAAACCGCTAAACTTTTTTCTATCCAAAATTCAATCGGATTTAATTTTCGTTCCAAGTAAAAAAAGCTCCCGCTGTTTTACTTTGATAAGCGCGGAAGATATAGGAATTTCGATGTTCGTATGAGAGTACACTTTTTGTACTCTTTGGTCTAAATGTTGCCACAGTTCTTCACCATTTTCGCATTCTTCACTGTTTTGTTGAGACTCATGAAAAGAATTCGAGGTAGATGAACGATCTTGATGAATCAAATTATACCTCAATTTTTCTACTATATATTTTTGTGCATGATCAGCGTTTTCTTTCGTTCCAATGCTATCTTTTTAAATCGAGGATCCATAAACGTGGCTTTTAGAAGCTGTTTTCTTATTTTCAATACATTCTCTTAAGCGTCAATAACATCTACAAGTATCTTTTTTAACTGTTTCGCGATATCAGTATTAGGAAAGTTATATCTTAATGAATTTTGTAAGTCACGAATTAAGGGGAGAACCTGGTTTTGAACGCTGAAAAGTAACTATTTTTTGTGAATAAATCTCATGAAGCTGATCTTTCTAAAACTTTAGAGGTGATTTGTTATATATTTCAACAATACAAAATAATTTTTTAATATGAAAATAATGAATACAATAATAAGTTATATATTAATCATTATTGTGTTTCGGCACAGACGTTGTTAATTGGCATGCAATGTGGAGCCTGTAATTCTTGCCTGAATAAAAAAAACCAAAAAATTTTGAAACTAGATAATATTTTATTGTAAATGAATTTAAAAAAATAAGAAAAATAAGAAAAAGTATTAAATTGTAAGAATCAATTGTTATGGAACTTTGAAAAAAAAGTTACGATTTTGAACATAAAATTTTGACTTCTTTATGTAGAAATAATTATTTATATATTAATTTTTTAACAAATATTTTTAATTTATTTAGGATGATTGATTTCAATTATGTAATTAAAAAACTTTGGATGAAGTCGATTGGTCAAATAGTTTTTGAGTTATCTTGCACACCAATTTCGAAAAAGTGGTTTTGAGAAAAATGCGTTTAAAGTTTTCTATATCGCATAGATATCACAGTATATCTGCGCGACGCGTACCTGTTTCTCAGGCTATAACTACAAAAGTATTTCGAATTTCGGTCTAAAACTTTATGAGTATATTTTTAATGAGTAATACTATTGATTAAAACAAAAAAAAATGAAAATTTTGCCTCTAAACTAGGTTCCACCTTCCCCCCCTCTAAACTAGGTTTCACCTCCCCCCCTCTAAACTAGGTTCCTTTAATGATATTACTTAGAATTAGACTAACTTAGAACTTAACTTAGAATAGATATTATTTAGAAGATAATGTAAGAATACTGTTCACCATAAATTATGACTGTTAATCGTTCCACTGGTTTAAAAATTGAAATTTTACATTCGTGAAATTTATTTCATTCTTCTGAATGTAAATTATCTGGAGGAGAAGGCAATGAGGATAACGCCGCAGATAAAGGTACCTTTATGTTTTCTAGACGATTCATCATGATATACATTGAATTCCTTATTTGTACATCTTGTTTTAATTTTAATGATCCCAAATTTTCATTTACTGCTGTATTTCGCGAAGCTTATTAATGATACAGATTTTTCATGCTTTATGCAGCTTGATTGTTTCGCTTGAAATGAGATACGATTGCGCAACATTTCTCAGCTAATTTTAATAATTAATAAATTAATAATTAATAAAAACAATTTAATAAAATTGTTCATTTTCCTTTAAACAGTCTTGGATTGCTAAATTTAAAGTATGAGCTACGCAAAAATGATTACGTTTGTTTAAATATTCAGAGATTGCTTTTTTACATTAGCTACATTCAATGACTATAGTTACCACTTTATCGTAAATCTTTCATTAATTCTTAATCTTCTTTCAAGATCTCTCTAATCGCCATAATTATGTGTTGCAATATGATTGCCTCTCAAATGTTGACAAAGTAAAAAAAATTAATTTTATTTCGTATATAAAATGGACCGTCAATGTTAAAAAACTTTTGTTACTATCTGACGACCATATATCAATAATAACTAATAAATATTGAATCTTCTGCAACCTTCCTAGAGGCGCTGTACGAGTAAGCGAATAACATTCGGTAACCAATTCACAGTCTTGACGGAAGTATGTGGATTCAATTTATAAGTGTAATTTTAATCCTGTATTCTTAACTATTTGCAGAGATTGAAAATCCAAACATATCATTACTATCAATGCTTTATCGATTGCTTTTGAATTTTGCTGTATAACTTTTTTTTTGAGAGAAAATTGTTGTAACTATACGCGTTTTGAACGCGTTTGATACGCTTGACTTTCAATAGCGACGTCATAATAGGCTTTGCGTATTCTGATATATATTTGCTGTGTTTTACTGCCAACACTGAAATGTGACAGTTTACGTTATGTGCATTATAGATTTCAATACAGACAGTCAATTTTGGAACATAGCCACTGTCAGTACTGAAAATTTATAGTGCACGTTACGTATACTACAGATTTTTAATACTGGCAATGGTCATATTTAGAGTCATAGATTTATAGAAACGCGACTGGTATTAAGTGTTCTAATTGGTCATAAACTTTTTAACGACAATGACGCGTTGTTATACTTGCTGACACTTTGACCCGAGAAAAAAAAACGTTTTTTTTGCGCGAATGGCTGCATACTAACGGTTCGATTAAAAAGCATCTATCAATAGTTGAAGCTTCAAACTTCCAGTCGATGCAGATACGCGTCCTTCCGGTATCAGGAAAGTTCTAAAGTCTAGGGTAAAACATGATGCTCGGGTCATTTTGATTCAGAAGGACCACGAAGAGGGGGGAGGGGGAATAACATTATTACAATATCTTTGGAAAGTCTTAAAGTTAGCTACAAGAATATGTAATGAAAAACGATAATTTTTCATTAGAGAATGTAATAAAAATAGAGTTCTATTAAAAAATTTTAAGTAACTAAAAAAATTATAAGTAATCTTGACTTGACTTTAAGGATATTTTCTCAAGGTCAATCAAGATCATCGATTTCTTTCTCCCTTGAAACTCCCGTAAAACTTTTGTCTGAAACATTTTTGTCTTAGATTTACAGGCTTTGAGATAATCATCTGAACAAATTAAAATAATCCTTTCTGTAAAACAATGTCACTTTTTCCATATCATCTACTTCATTATCTACATTGATTATATTGATGTATATGTAGCGTTTTACAAGTGATGGGAAGTACTTTCATTAATGTATTTTTTAATGCTCATGTGAAATAAATAACATTCTTTCATTAAAAAACGCTACGAATTAATTCCAACACCTAATATATAATTTATTGAGACTCACTAATTGAGTTACACTAATTATCTTTTTCTATGAATTAGGAGAAGACAAACAGTAAAATAATCGATATTAAAGTTCTTATATTGGTGGACCTAAAGAAATGCTATTTAAAATTGTTTCCTTGGAAGGTTGATAGTATGAAAACATTATTTTAACAATCGTATTTAAACAATACACATTTAAACCTATAAAATCATTTAGCATATATTTGAATAATTAAACATCATAGTATAGAAAAAAACTTCAACAAATTACAATTTTTTAAGCTATTATATGCTTATTAACAGAAATTATCGGAATTTTACGTTACTGGAATGATATTTTAATATGTTGACATTTATAAAATATTTCAACTTTATGACTGTACGACACAAAACATTGATTAAACTTCTAATTTTTGCAAACACAGTTTGAATGCTTTTACATACACTGTAAGATATTTAAATTATTGACTTAACATATAATACAGAAAATTTCAGTTATTTCTTAATTCTGAAATTAAACGAACACTTCTTTTCCTATTTATTTCTATTTTTTTTCTACTTACTGTAATTTTTTTATAAATCGAATGTGTAAAAAT